TAGTAATACTCGTGAAAAAAAACCAGTTCCAGATTCATTTCTTTAAGTATTTTTTTAAAGCAAAAATGTGTGAGGAACATGCTGGATGGAAGGAGGCGGGACACACTGGAGAGTAGTGAAAAGGTAGTTCAATTAAGAAACCAGGGAGGGAGAGTGACGGGTGAGGCCAGAGGCAGGGGGGTGATCCAGCGGGGAAGGTTGGTGCAGGTGGTGCCGCATGGAGTTGGTGCTCAGGGTGCGGACGCTGTGGTCGGGTGAGGGAGAGGATCCGAGGGACGCTGCTGCTGAGCGGGTGGAGGAATCCAGTGGAGGTGAGAGCTGGAGAGACGGAGGGAAACACATAGTTAGAAATGCGCTCGCACAGAGACGCATAGAAAAGCTCAAGACTGCAAAACTCTACGACTGAGAGCTGGCCTTGATGCCCCGTGAGAGGAGTTCAGTCTTCTGGCACTGGGCAGCAGGAGACGCCAGGCATTAACCTGCTTGATTGGCGATTGGCCGCAGGTGCGTAATCACCTCCACTGGCCGGAGCCGCTCAGCCCGCAAACACAAAGCACACGACAACCTACACCAAGCACAGCCGGAAGTGAAAATACAAAATGCCAAGTAGCATGTGGCTTCAGCCTCTCTCTGTTGGGTTAAAAGTGATGTGGAATGAAAGCAATATTGTCTGAGCCCATACAAGTACAATACGCATTACTGGGTCACCACATACAACACATGAGTATAATCACTCAAGTGACACATTTTTGCAGTTGTGTTTACAGTTTAGTCAGTGTTTTGATCATTTCACAGATTATTTTGTACTTTAGCACATCCTGAAGGACACCATGTCAGAGTTTTTCAATATTAAAGCAAGTCAGGTTTAACAGCCTGGATAGTTGTAACAGGTGTTTGTCCTTCAACAGCAAAAGAAACGAGTGTTTCTTTAACCCCACCAGCGTGGTCACATCGCACATATTACACCATAAAACATGTGCATCTGGGACATTAGCCACAAACGTAGATGATGAACTAACCTCATCATCCTAACTGATGGGGTTAGTTCAAAATCTAATCATAGCAAAATCAATGGATGTTTGTACAAAACAGTGCCTGGTATTGGTGGAACACATGTGAGCTGTTAAACACATAACAAATGTGTTTCTATCAGTAATTTTATCTCTAAAATATGTCACAGTAAAGACTGAATTGTCGAGATTGTAAATGACAGCTTTAACTATTTTGTAATTTCTTACAGATCAAATAATTAATCTTAGTAAGTAATCTAAATCTTAATAGTTGTTCTATTTGTTTGGAGAAGTTAGAATAATGCCACTGAAATCTCCCCAAGACGTCTAAGATTAGAAATCCGTGTCTTGCCATGAGAACCGCAGGATGCCGGATGGAGAGGAAGTAACCCCCGAACAGTCAGGTTTATGTAGACAGATGGAGACGTCTGATAGTCTGCAGCTACACATGCGTAGAAAGGCAGAGCACAATGAAATTAACCGAAGACAAACACAGCTCTGGACTGATGCCCTTATTCAGCTGTTTCTATGTTTGCAGCAGCCTTAATTGGTTCAAACGCCAGAGATGGTGGATGAGTCGCTTTTAAACAATCTTACAAAAGGTTTGGTTCACTAAAACCTAATAAATATAATAAACCTGACAACATCAGAATCATCTAGCTTCATTATAGATTTCTTCTGCACCTGCTTAAATTACTGCATCGGTTCTTTTTTAAAAAACCTTTGAGCGAATGGATTTAGCACAACATCCCTAAAAGGATATTAGCTGTCGTGTACGATCCAGCACTCATGTCAACATCTGCCTACTTATTCACCTTATTTAGGACTCTGTGTGTGAATGTGTGCTTTAGAGGAAGTCCACCACGTGGTCGCTGGCCTTTGAGCCACAGCGATAGCATCACTGCTGGTATTAAAACAGTCTAGCGAGCCCACAGAGAGTGACAAATGAAATGCAAAAAAAACAACATGCGGGCTATTAGGACGGTGTTGGGTCACCATGTGCAGCCAGAACAGCCTCAGTGTTCCCTGGCATTGAGTCTCCAAATCTCTCTACTGGAGGAATGAGCACCGTTCTTCCAAAAGATATTCCCTCATTTGGTGTTTCGATGATGGTGGTGGAGAACGCTGTGTGACATGTCGGTCCAAAATCTCCCAAAGGTGTTTACCTGGGGTGAGATCTTGTGACTGCCAAAGCCAGTGACATCCATTTGTACTCATTTGAGACCCTTCTTTCCAAGGGGACAAGTGGATCCAAGCGATGTCACAGCGTAACAGACCCACCTGATCTCCTCCTTGAAGGCTTTTCCTTTAATTTGTCACCTGTCTGTAGGTGTCTTTATTCTCTGATCCGTACAACAACTGATTTGTCATTAGAAACAGCTGTGGTTACCGAGTTTCGCTCCGCATCAGCAACACAACCTGGGAAAGAAAAAAAACACAGCACGTGTGGTCGCCATGGAAACAGAAACTTTGACTTTTCAAGACTGAAAAGTGAGTCTCATCGCGAGGAGTGGCATGCGCCTCAATAAACAACCCCGCTGGAGCTATTTTCAGCTCTGGCAGCGTGCCAGGTTAAATGTGGACTCTGGAGTGTTCATCATGTGCATTTCATCTAAGTGAAACACAAACAGGAGGAAACCAAACGACGCCGTATGAATAGTAATAAAGCACTCTCGATGCTTTTTATAGAGGAAAACTCCCGGCGGTGGAGCCGTCAGATTCAAGATGACGAGGACTCTGTTTGTGAGTCTCACCTTCTCAGCCCAGATCCATAGAAACCAAACGGCTTCCCTTTGATGCTGTTTTGCATTAGTGAGATAACAGCATCCTTCACTGATCTTTAAATGCCCGGCACACGGCTGGTCGTTAGTTACCGAGTGATGCCTTTGTGTGCTGGACTTTGTGAAGCAAATGCAGTCGAGCTCAGTGGTGTGTCACAAATTAAATGTATATTACTCAGGCCTGAGTTGGTGCTGTTGGTGACATTCTCTTCTTGTAAATTGGGATAGTTATTTTGCTCACCAGTACGTCTTGGCAACAGGTACTGTAGCGACCAGTAAATTAATTCAGGTTAAATTAAACTGCATTCTCATTACATTTTGAAACAAATGCATGATCTTTCTGTAATATAGCATAGGAAAGGCTTCAAGTTTAAAAGAAAAACTAACTCTGTGTAAGACTTGGAGGCTTTTTATCCAGGAGACTTGCACCTCTTGTGGGACCATTATTCTTAGACTAAAGTTTTCATTCACTGTTTGGTCAGGTTGAGGCACTTGGTTTGGTCAGACACCAGAACTTCTTGGTTAGATTGAGCATGCTGTAGGCTAAAAATATATCCTGACACTGGCTTGTTTTAGATGAATGTTGGCTAATTTTTTCATGTAGGTTTTCACTTTAATGTAATTATTTGTTTTAGTTTAGTTTGTGACCAGCAGATCATGTGGACAATCAGCAAACGGTGAAGTGGATAAATCAGATAAAGCATGGACCACTACAGTTCCTCAACAGGAGCCCTTGAGTAACATCTGTGGGCAATGTTTGAGGTTTTCTCTTCTTTTTGATTTTGGGAAAAATAAACAACCAAAATAAATAATTCATTATGATTGAAGGCTTATAACTGTCTTAAACTGCAGAAGAGTCATTTCTGAGTTTCCTCTGATTCTATTATTGATGGTTGAGCTGTTTCCATAGAGGTGCAGGACTTTATGCTGTAGAGAAAAATGCCCAGAAACTGCATGAGGTTCAAACAGGTACATTTCTTTTTAGATTGTCTGTCTTAGTTAAATAGATGTTCTTTAGAAGAAGCTGTTGAAGGAAACTAGGTTGTCAAACAATTATCAGCCTGGCAGATTATCAGGTCTAATATTCAGATTTTATTTTATTTTTTTTTTTAATTATCCTAATTTTTTCAAGGCAGTTCCCAATTAAATGAAATAACTTTTGCGCTGCTATGGTTTAAATGCAAAGTTACAGTATTATTGTCTCAAATGACGTCTCGCTCACAGCACTGACTGATTGGTTGCAAATGAAACACTGAAGAATAAATGTTGGAAAGTGTTTTTTTTTGTTGTTTTTTTAAAAAAAACATGTAAAGCATGAATAAACAAAGCAGTGAAGTCGAATTGTGATACAAAGATTGTAATTTTTACTGCAAATATATATCAGCTATTGGTTTTCTTGATTGCTAAATATACGTATCGGAATCTGCACCAAACAAACAAACAAAAAAACAAAAAATGTATTATTATATATACAACAGGTAATTACCAAGAACAAGAGAAAATAATAAATGCAGCTTTGTAACGTGAATGAAATGAGGAAATGTCGAGCAGTGACTCCTCTGTAGGTTTTCAGCGCTAAATATGTACAAAGCTGCTGCCACAGTCGCCAGACTTCTAGTTTCATCTGCTGTGGTTTATTACACACACACACACAAAAAAATAAACTGATTTTTAAAATACTTTCCTGGAACCATCTACAGTCTCAATCTCTTCTGTTCATCAAACACAAGTAATAATAGAAAGACGGGCCGCCTGTGTGGCAGCTTATGTTCTCTTCTGCTTTGGGGATTGTACAGTGTCATCCTGTCTGACTCATTATTCCCTCCAGTGTTAAAATTGAATCTTTGCTGGAACAACTTGCAGCTATTTTCAAGGCTGCAGGCTCAAATCTTCAGGACAGCGATTGAGTCCAGTAAAACTCAGGAGCTGGACTGCTTATGTGTACCTATAGTCACACACACACATATATTCTATACTTATTCCAAGTCTCCGCAGAGATGAGGTCTTTATTTTTGTGTGAATTGCCATTTTAAAATTTTGACCTGAACGGACAGAATTTAAAATGAGATTGACCCGAGCTTCTGCTCTCTGCTCAGATCAGAGCGTCCTCAGGGCCGGATTACGACCATCACATATGAATGAAGGTTCGTCTGAGCGGTACAGGATGTTCAGGCTGTAAATGCTTCGACCGTTCTTTCTTTCCCTCCAGATCTGCACTCCTGACCTGGTGGTGTTCCTGGCCTGCACTAACCACCGGTTGAAGGAGAGGCTGCAGAAGCGAGCCGAGCAGCAGGGACGACCCGACGACAACCCCAAGGCCATCGACCGCCGCCTGACCAACTTTAAACAAAACACCATCCCTCTGGTCAAATACTTCCAGGAGAGGGGCCTTATTGTTACGGTAAGGCTGGTTTTGCATGAAAGTGATTATACAGCGGATTATACAGTGGAAAGGTGAGGCTGTGGAGCTCAGGGTGGAGCTCAGGGTGGAGGACGGGTGTGCGCTGCTTTCAGACAGAGGATTCATATCACAGATCATTCACAGATCAATAATCCTCACATACTCCTACCACATGGGGTGTAAAAGGTCGATTATCTCAACGTTTTTGAAGTGTCATCAGATGATTGGGAGTCTTATCGTTCCCAATTTGCAAACAAACAAGCTTGTCAACGGAATGTTATTAATTTAAGCGCTGAACATTCGCCATCTCTGGTTGAATGATGATTGTACAATAATGATAATAACTTCATTTGTTTAGCATCCTTTGAAGACAAAGCTACAGTGCTTTACAATAACACAGATGTCACATTAGACAAATGATGAAAACAATTTAATTCTAAGTATGCAATTTAAGAAGATGAAATAGTTCTATTGTGGGGTCTTTTTGTTTGTTTGCATTGGTTTTTCTTCCCCAAAATTTCTCATCAAGACAAAAGCCATTGTATCAAAGTGCCCTCCAGGAAAAAAAAGATTCTATTTGGCCCTAATTTAATTGGTTCTGCTGCTGTAAGTATATTTGATATTTCATCATATTTCCAGACGACCTTCAGTAAATCTATCAAAAAGCCAAAATGCATCATCAGTTTTGTGACATATGTTTTGAGTTGTAGGAATCATTGGAAACTCAAACTTTTGTTCATGACTGTATATCCATCCATCCATCCATTATCCATACACCACTTAATCCTCACTAGGGTCATGGGGGGCTGGAGTCTATCCCAGCCGACCCAGGGTGAAGGCAGGGGACACTCTGGACAGGTCACCAGTCCATCGCAGGGCTACACTTAGAGACAGACAACCAAGCACACTCACATTGACACCTACAGACAATTTACAATCACCAATTAACCTCAACATGTTTTTGGACTTTGTGGGAGGAAGCCGGAGAACCCGGAGAGAACCCACGCTGCACGGGGAGAACATGCAAACTCCATGCAGAAAGATTCCGGTGCCCCCACCGGGATGTGAACCGGCAACCTTTGCTGCGACACAACAGTGCTACCAACTGCACCACCCTGCAGCCCATGACTGTACATATTGGGGAATAACTAAACCTAAAATAGAAAATGTGTCATACTATATTGTATACATTGTGAGGTTTGGGCTTGGTTCAGATCGTCCTGAGGGGAATTTTTGAGGTATTTCACCCACCACATGACAATCTCATGAAAACTTTGGCATCAGAGTATCACCAGAGTCACAGGATTTATCCTCTGTGGACCATCAATGTCTGTACAAACTTAGAAATCTCTCAACAGTTGCAGAGTTACAGGATTTAAGTCTGAATCAAAGGCTAAAATACCACTTCATGTGATTCCGTGTTGCACAACAGATGAGTATTATCCTCCTGTCCAGCCATAAGGGTTCCTGCATCCTCACGGTTGTGTTCACAGTAATTATGTTAAGAGCTTCATTGTCATTCCAAACACACACACACAGCACAGCAGAGGGAGTGTGCAGACCAAGTCAAGAAGTGTATGTTTATCTCCTGGTGCTTTGGGGGCTGAAATGCAGACTGTTGCTTTCGGAGTACGCAACTGGAGACCTGTGGGATTTTCATTAGATGGTGTGGCTTTGTGCTCAGGAGCCTCGAGTGATGTGTGAGTCGGTGCTAATAGAGACGTTGGCTCCTGCAGCCAGCGGCCCACTCTTCTAGTGGGAGTCTTATTGATCCGTCTGAGTCTCAGCGCAGCGTCGTCTTCCTCCCAGCAGAGGGAATACTGAAAAACTCCTCCGCTGGATCGCTGTGGGAAGAAGAAGACTTTGTTTGCATGGTATTAGATTGTTGTCTTGGGGCCTCTTTAAATGAAAAGTGTAAAATAATTTCCATCAGTTGTCATGTCAGCATTAGAAAAAGGAGAAACAGGAATGGATGCATCAGGCTTCACTTTCTTTCTGCGGACAACACTTAATAAGTCTGGTCGTCTTGAGGCTTTGGAATTTTGCTTTATTTTCTTCGTTTATTATCATTTCTTCTCCTTTTTCTTGTGATATTTCTCATATTCTGCTCATTGCCTCCTTGGCTCTCTGTTTCTTCTCTGTCCTTTTTCTTCACAGTTCTTGAATCTCATCTCTGTTTGCTGTGTTTCTTGCCGCACATTCGTCCTTCCATCCAGTAATTTTCCGTCCCTGCTCGTTCTGTCACCAGCATGCAAAGAGCCTGATTGTCGGGAAGCTAACAGTTTCACATTCACGGTTCCTTTTTTTTTTTTTTGTTTCAAATTCATCTAACCTGTAGTTCTCTGGATTCCTGGGGGGGAAAGTGGAGCAGGTTTCGGTTTTCATGAATACTGAAATTGCTTCTCGTGGTCCCCTGTGTGCAGTGTGTTGCTCAGGTGCAGCCTCGGTGAAAAATGACGATGGGCGCATCATGTGCAGAATTCATACAGCTTGTTATGAGGTGTGAGATTCAGTGCATGCTTTTGGGGGATTCTGGTTTGGATTTCTACAGTTTCTACAGTTTTTCTGTCACTTCTGGCCTGAAGTTTGTTGTTTACTGTAATCTGATAGCAACAGATAGTTGAAAACTGTAGGTAGATATCAGTGGTTGGATCAAATTCTTGCTTGCTTCTTATTCTTCTACATGATTTTTCAGTTTTAGGCAGTGTTGTTGTTCAGACAACACAGTGCTGCAGTTGACAATTATTTTGATTATTCTGGCTGTTGTTTTCTTGATTAATCTGTTCATTATTTGCAGGGTTTTTTTTCCATGGCATTCCCTAAAAACAAGACAACAACCAACCAAAATGATAAGAATTGAGACTAAAAACAACAATTTAACTCTCTGAACTCTGAGCAGATTCTGAGTAGGTTTTTCTCACTGTGGGCTCATTTATTCACCGTAATATAAAGTCCTGCACCTCTAATGAAATGGCACAACCATGACTAGAAGGAGAGACAACTCAAAAATCGGTGCAGTTTAGCAAAGTTGTAATGCATGAAATCACAAGAAACACAGCCTCTGCAAAAACAGCCTGCAGTTCAAGCTCCTGATTTTTGGCCACTTGACTGTTGATTGCAGCTCAATCACTAATAATAGCTTAATGGTTGCACTGAGGTGCACAGAATTTTTAGTTTTTTACAGATTCTCATAATTGCATGTGATTTTTTTTATAGCATTTTTTAAAATGAGAGTTGTAGATTTCAGGGATTTTAATGAAATATTACAGTTTTAACTTTAGTTAAGTGTGCTGACAGCGCGGCACGTCACAGATGAGTAAGTTGAAAATTCACAAATTCACAGCTTCTAGCTCCAATGAATGGTGGAATTTATCAGAGAGAATAAACAAGTGATTATTTAAAGATAACCTGACTTTCAAACCTAATAGCAAATTTTAGGGCTTCAGAGGGTTACATGTTCTTTGATTGTGTGTGTGTGTGGTTTGTTTTTTGCAATTTACAGCTATCGAGCAATCAAATAAACTTTAAATCCAATGTTTTCTACTTCCTTTAGTCAGCTCTCTGCTCATCCTTAGCTGCTGTATTTTGCACATAAGACTGATGCTGGATCTCAGGTTTACCCTCCAGAATCTAAAGCAGAAACAGACCAGTGGATATCTTGGAAGACTGTTTAGGGCTTCATTCACTCGAACATATTGTATTTATTATTGATAATTAATTTCTGTCATATAAACACAGACTCATTGTCTTTACTCTACGTAGACGGATCATGATAACTGTCCTGCACAGTCATCCTCCAAAGGTCCACGCTGAAACCAGAACACCCGATTTGATCAATAAAATCTGAGACGAGAGCTCATCCTACAGCCTGAGATATAGTCTCTAAATGTACTGCTTTATCTAAGAAATCCAAAATCCAGAGATAAACAGGTTATCATTGTAAAAGACTAGATGGATAATACTCACATTTTAGAACTACATTGTTAATTATCAAGTTATCAGAATGGTTGCAATTTAATTTCTGTTAACTGATTGACTGGATGACCAGTTCAGCTCTTTTGTTAAGTGATTTGAATCACTTATATAATCACATAATTGAAACGTGTTACGGTTAAAGCTCTGTAAATTTCACAACAGTAGCAGCAGGTGTTGAAGTTATCTTTAAGCTCTATCCATGAATTTTCCCCAAATAAACCTCTAAACAAGCAAACCGGTGAGGAGGTAGATTTTAGAAAGAAAAATATAACACGTATTAATAGGTGTTGTTTTTCTAATATACAGTGTTTAATGGGGTGTTCAGTTTTTCTTTAATATTGTTCTCCTTTAATTCTAACCTTAACGTGTACATACAGATCTGCATTTATGAGTCACAGTGACAGAATTTAATCTCAGCTGTCAGCAGGAAGTAATTTATTCCTTTAGCATAAACTTATGAGAGTTTAAAAAGGCTCCGTCCCCTCACCGTCTCTGACTAAGACAGTAGCTGCAGTAACAATGCAGCAGATATCTGCTATATTCACGCCTGCAGCAGCGTAATCATCAGAGTTTAATATTACCCATCAGCCCTCAGTAGCTGCCTTTTTTTTTCTAGGAGTGATGAAAATTTTTCCACCTTCACGTGGAACAAAAGTTAAACCCTGAGTCAGTCGAGGCAAAAGTCATTTTTTTTAAATCAAAGGGCTGCAGAAGGAGTTCTCTTAGCTTTAGGTGGAAAATGATAACTTGTTTATATCAACACTTTTCTAGAGAAAAAGCATAAAAATACTAACAAAAGGACACAAAAGGAAGAACAGACATAAAGGAGAAAAAAAATTAATCGCTGCATTTAAATAGACCAAGAAATATTTTAACAATGAACATGTTTAAATGTGTTCTGACAGGAACAGGCAGAAATGTTAAAGTCCTGTGATGTGATACGGTCTCTTGACTCTAGTTTGAAGCCCATCTAAAGCTTTCAGATTAAAACGAGTGAACAGTGGTAACCCAGACGTGATGAAATA